TTGCAGGGAGAGCCATAAGGTCAATGAGCCCCAGGTGTCCTGCATTGAGTTAACAAAGGTCAGGTGTCCTGCTTGGGGATAAAAACTGGGACCACTAACAGGAAGGGAGGAGTGTCTTTTCTGTTGAGTGCACTTCACAGAGCTTCCTGCTTAAGGAGAGTTCTCCTGACTCTCCCTTGAACTGGGCCTTGGTCCATTTAGACCTTTGTGAACATGGGCTGTTCGGGTGAGAGTTGTCATGTGGGCACATTTATTGTATGTATTTAGTTTTCTGGTCTGGATGTTTCCCATGCCAGCTATAGGAAACCTCAGTTCTCTGCTCATACCACCTGTTGTGGGTTGAGTTATGTCTTTTGTGGGATCATTGGGGGTGGCATCAATTATGTACAAGCTGGTTGACTTGTTTGTACCCCTGGTGATCATTCATGTCACGATGTTTTTGCTTACAATACAGTCTGTGTTTTGGTTTCTTTCCCTGGTGGTTGTGTCATTCTTGTTGGGCCTGGTCATTGGCAGAACAGCTAGCAAGTTAGTAAGCACAGTACTAGCCAGGAATAGTCAGACAGCAAAAGTGAAAATGGGTGGGTAAGCTCTCTCTCTGAAATGCTTATATACCAATGCATGGAGTATGGGGAATAAGCAGGAGGAGTTGAAGATCTGCGTTAGGTTGCGTGACTATGATATAATTGCAATCACTGAAACATGGTGGGACAGCTCCTATGACTGGAATGTTGTCATGGATGGCTACATACTGTTTAGGAAAGACAGAACAACAAGGCGAGGCAGTGGTGTTGCCCTTTATGTACGAGAACAACTGAAATGTATTGAGTTCTGTCTGTGGGGAGAGGCGGAACAGGTTGAAAGCCTGTGGGTAAGAATTAAGGGACGTGCCAATGGGGGTGACACTGTTGTCAGAGTCTACTATAGACCACCAAACCAAGAAGATGTTGATGAAGCCTTCTACAGGCAGCTGGAGGTAGCCTCTAGAACACACTCCTTGGTACTCAGGGGAGACTTCAATCACCCTGATATTTGCTGGGAATCCCACGCAACTAGGCAAGCTCAGTCGAAAAGGCTTTTGCAGTGCATTGATGCTAACTTCTTAATGCAGGCAGTGGAGGAACTGACAAGAAGAGGTGTACTGCTAGATCTTGTATTAACGAATAAAGAAGGACTGGTTGGGGGCATTAAGGTTGGGAATAGCCTTGGAGACAGTGACCATGACATGGTGGAGTTTAGTATTTTACAAGGTAGAAGCAGGGCACTAAGTAAGATTACAACCCTGGAACTCTGCAGGGCTACCATTTCACTTTTCAAAGATCTACTTGTGAGAATCCCATGGGTAAGACTCTGGAGGGTAAAGGGGCCTAAGAAAGCTGGTCAGTCTTTAAAATCTTGGGCTTGGAGGAAGTGATATTTCCAAAAAAAAAAAAAGGCTCCACATGAAGGCCAGGCCCTTCCCTCATGGCCTGATGGCTTGGCCAAAGACATCAACAAGGGCGAGGTCTCGGCCTGCCAGGATCTGAAGCAGTGAGCTTGGTATCTGGCTGAGAAGTACGAGTGGGACGTCACCGAAGCCAGGAAGATGTGGTGCTTTGGTCCTGATGGCACCAGCCCCCATATCCTCACCAACATCACCAAGGGCGTGCAGTACCTCAACGACATCGAGGACAGCGTGGCGGCTGGCTTCCAGTGGGCAACAAAGGAGGGGGTCCTGTGTGAGGAGAACATGCGCGTGGTGCATTTCGATGTGCATGATGTCACCCTGCATGCCGATGCCATCCATCATGGAGGGGGACAGGTCATCCCCACAGCCAGGAGGTGCCTCTACGCCTGCGTCCTCACTGCCCAGCTACAGCTCATGGAGCCCATCTACCTGGTGGAGATCCAGTGCCCAGAGCATGTGGTGGGTGGCATCTACAGTGTGCTGAACAGGAAGTGTGGCCACGTGTTTGAGGAGACCCAGGTGGCTGGAATCCCCATGTTCGTGGTCAAGGCATACCTGCCTGTCAATGAGTCCTTTGGTTTCACAGCAGATTTGAGGTCCAACATGGGGGGCCAGGCTTTCCCCCAGTGCATCTTCGACCACTGGCAGATCTGCCCGGGGACCCCTTAGACAGCACCAGCCGCCCCTGCCAGGTGGTGGCTGAGACCTGCAAGCGCAAAGGCCTCAAGGAAGGAATCCCTGCCCTTGACAACTTCCTCGACAAACTCTAATCCAACCTGTTGGACTCTGAAGGGGAAGGGTGTGGGGGTGAAATGAAAAATAAAATGGAAAAAAAACCCCTCAATTGATTAATTAGCCCACACTGAGGGGTAGACATGCCCTGTGAGCACCATCTCTGCATTGTTAATTGGTTTCCCAGACATTGGGAGACTTGAAAGGAGGAGAAATGAGAGGAAAAAAAAAAAAAACAAAACAAAGCCTTATAGGTTTCTGTGTACCACATGACTCATCTTTGCCATTGTAACTAAAACATTTCTACTATAAAGAAAACAACAAAACAAAAAAACACTGAGGCCAAGATGCACAGGTGGCACTTGCCTCCCAGAGGAAAAACAAATAAAAGCCCCTCACCATACTCAATCAATGTCAAGACCAGTTGTGTGTTTATATATCCGAATACAAAACTTTATTTCCGTGAACAAAAGCAGAAGGGGGGGGGAAAAAAAAACAAAAAAAAAA